TATTAGAGATGCACCGATTGCAATTTTCTTGGCCGATTCCGATTTCCGATTTTTTTGTTAGTGTGATACCGATTTTTGCCGATTCCGATTTTCTTTCTAAGAACTATAATTGACAGCATATACAAACAAAACTCTACTTTATTTTCTTAAAAAAAAACAATTAAAAAGTCAGTAATAAAATAAGAACAAATAAAAAAATTGCAAACAGCGCAAATAAATGCAATAGAATAAAGAGAGCTATGAAACTTACGTTTTTTCAGGTTAAGTAAGTTTTTATTCAGGTAAGAAATACTACAGAAATTAAAGTAATCAAATGTAAAATAACACACGATGTGTTATTTTACATTTGATTACTTTAATTTCTGTGGTCTTCATTGTAAAAATTAAATACAGATTAATGCTTACCATTAAAGTTATAAAACGTATTCAGTCAAGAGTAGAAAGTGGTTTTCTTTGTATTTTGTTCTTTGATTAACATAACAGACAGCAGCAGGAATATTGGACTGCGGCCCCTTTAAGAGTTTATCCACGGACCCAATATACTGTTACACAACATGCGTTCTCTTTCTCAACTATTCAAAACTATTCAAAACTGACTGTGTTTAACATTTTGACTGACTGTCAATTTAACAATTGACATTTTGACAATTTTGTATGTATTTGACCGTTTTAGTGCAGTTAGCCACTCATTTTGGTATTTGCGGCTCACAAGCTGTTTGAGACTGAGCGCGGATTGTGCGCTCCACTAATATAGATCAGTGGTGGTGCGCGCGTGTTTGGTATAAGCGCGAAACCTGCGGGATTGACTAAAATAATGCGCAATACAAGCACTATTTAACCGGAGCGAATGAGACGTGTGTGAGAGAGAGAAGGGGTCATCGGAGAGAAGAGAGCGAGAATGCGCGGCTGACGTTATTGCCTGTGCCACTGGTAACAAAACGGATCGGCTCGGAATCGGAAAGAAGTGAGACTGACCGGCCGGTCACCGATCCGGGCCGATCATGAGGAAAATCGTCCGATTCCGATCCCTAGCCGATCGATCGGTGCATCTCTAATTTGTAATTTAGTTTTAGCTTTTTCATCTAATATTTACATTTTATTTAAACTAATGAAAAGGTTTTAGTTTTTGTTAGAATACATTAAAACAGTTAATTTCTTCCGCACCTGTTGCGTTTGTCCTGATCCTTTTTCCGCCTTGCTCTCATTTTGGCCCGGAAGAACTCGTACAGACCATTCTGTTCCCAACCCTCACTAGGAAAATGATCAATTTTAGTCATTACAACTGAAGTATTAAATAAAAACAACCAAAAAACGACAACTCAAGAGCAGTCACACTGGCGTTCACCTGTTTCTGGGTCTGTCGTGGGACGGCGGGCTGTAAAACGCCTCCACTGCAGCCAGCAGACGGTCACTGGGAGGCATCGGGGGGGGCAAACGGATGTCTTTTGGGTCCAGAGGCTTATAATCATGATCTTCAAGCTATTGTTAAAGAGAAAGTTTAATCTCACATTTAAGACGAGACTGACAAAAACAAGCATCTACTTTCCCAGCTGATGTCGCAATGTAAAATTACCTTCACGAGCGGTGCCATGAGTCCTGCGGGAAGGTCGAAGTAGGGCACATTGGGCACCAGACTGGGGTCGTCCTGACTGACATGAGAAGGGGTCTGCCGCCGCATGTGGGGCGCCTGACCGTTAAAGCCTTGGGGCGGTGGCCCGAAATCAGGATGCTGGTTCCCGCCCCACGGAGGAGGATCAGATATCCCAGGAGGAGGTATCCTCTGGTTTGGGTGGTGATGAGGAGGCGGACCGATCTCTGATGAGAAGAACAATATATTATGTCTGACTATTAAAAACTGTCTTACACAAAATTGGAATTTTAATTAAAAATAAAACATGCACAACAAAATCAGAAAGAAATTGCCTAATTTAGGCAGGCTTTTTGGAGCAAAACAACGACTGTTTGTTACCTATTCAATTATTATACTGCAATATGTGTCTAATTGTTCCTTATTTCGAAAAAAAAAAAAGTTACTTTAAATATTAAAATATTTTTCGAAATATGCCTGTATTTGTTTTGTTTTTAATTAGGAAAATAGGTGATTTGTTTTATAATTAATTCTAGAATTTTGAGACTACAGAACAATAATAATTACTGTTATTAATATTCAAAACAGTATTTTATTATTTAAGTCATAAAAATTAAACATCAATAAAGAAATATATTTCTATTACAATAATACTGTAAAATAAATAACTGTACTGCAAAATAAAAATGAGCATTTTTTGTCACATCTTTATTTTATTTTTTTAAGTATCAGTAGTGTTGTCAAAAATATCGACTGCAATACCAGTCAAAATTCAAGTCAAAATTACAGTACCGACTGGTATCGCGGTCTGTACTTTTGACAACCCCATAGAATACTATTTATAGTATTTCACATTAATATTATTAATTTATATTATTTTAAAGTATTTGTATCATTTATATTAATATTTTGGTTTTTATATTTTATTAATTTAGTTTAGGTCTGACTAATTTTGTTGTTTTTGTACTACTTAATTTTTAAGTATTTTATTTTCATTTTAGTATTAGTATTTTTAGTATAGTATGATAGTATTTATTAATATTTTGAATTAGGTTTTAATTGTGATATTTTCAGTTTTCATATATTACCATTACAAAGACTGTAAAATAAACAAGTAATTAAAATAAATAACTACTGTGAAATAAGAATGTTTAATATAATAATTAACTTAATTTTTCAGAACAGCAAAATTACACTAATATTAATATTTATGGCCATCTTAATTTCTTTGCTTTCAAACATAAAACCTCGTATTTACGCAATTCAGGATGGAAAAGTGGAAATCTGAAGAAATAAGAAAAAATAAAATATCAAACAAGGACAAAAAATGTGTAAATTTTTCCTGAAATCAGAGTCATTTTTAACTCTAGTAGTTTTCCAAATAGAAAAGCCGAGGTCTCACCTCCTGGGAAGTCTCCCTGTGGGTAGTCGAATCGGTGCGGCGGATACGGCGGCCGTTCGAAGTGATGCCGCGGAGGAAACTCGTCCTGCATGAAACGCGGCGGGAAACGTCCGAAGTTGTGAGGCGGCTGGTTGAATGGCGGCGGCTGCTGATGGGGAGGGAAGGGCCCACGGAAATGCGGCGGACGCTGCATGCGGAAGGGAGGCTCCCTCTGGCCCCACGGCGGCGGCTGATCTGGCTGGCTGCTCCATGGCGGCTGGTCGAACTGACCGCTCCAGGAGGGCGGCGGCTCGTTCTGGCTGCTCCAGGGGCCTGCGGGGCCCCCGTCCCGAGGGCCGCTCCAGTTGGGGTCCCGCTGCTCGTTCCACATGCCCTCGTGGCTGTTCCAGGGGGGCGGGGCTTGAACTGGGTCGAATGGTGGCTGGAGGCGGAAACATTGAATATGTTAGCATTGGTGCTGTGTTGATTACTTACATATTGTAAAATAAAACTTTTAAAACGGTCTTAAACAAAATTAATTAAGTTAAAAAATTAACCCTGTCAAACCTTTTTTACCCTGTCAATAATTGTAATCCATTACTGATTTCAAACTACATTACGAAATTTCGAATTAGTAAAAATCTATTACACTACTTTTAGATTACTTTTCCTTCTGACCTAATTTGTTAATCACTTTGATTTGAATTGGTTAAGTAAGGAATAATTGACGATGGGCCATTGAATTCTTAGAAAATAATGCACACCCGAAGTGCATTATTTTCTAATAATTCAACGGCCCGTCGTCAATTATTCCGCTTATACTATGGTTACCACACCTCAAGACATCGATCAGATTATATATTTCAAGGCATTCGTCCGGCTTTTCTACTTAAAATGCTATTGTAAGTAGGATTCATTTCTTCCGCATCTCATCCAACGCCTCCGTTGCCAATTCCAAAATGTAATTTTAAACCTAGCAACGGAGGCTTGAGCCGTTGATAGCAGACCAATGCAGCTAATAACTAAGTTATAGAGAGAGAGAGAGAGAGAGAGACTACCTCTGTGAGTCTGGGCATCTCGCAAAAGTGTTCGGCAGCAATGTCTCTAACAGTGAATATTTAAGTTATATTTCTTCACGAACAGCGCCATTGTTGCTACCTCGCTTGTGAGAAGTCATGTAGTTTTTAAGTTCTTAAACTATGTTACTGATAAAATCGCCAGAGCAGCGCTAACAACATTAGCACGTATGTTAACGTGTGTGCAAACTCTATGTGCGTCTGTGAGAAAGAGAGTGTGGGAGAGATAGAGTATGTTTTTTTTAGAACGAACAATTTAAAAGATTGAAAAAAAAAATTAAGAAAAATCAATTATGAACAATTTACTGCCATTGAGTGAGTGAAATATAATCATTAAAATAGTAACGCTAATCTGATGAGCATTTTTGTGTTTTTTTTTTTTTGGGAAAATAAATTGTAATCTGTTACTGATTTCAAATTTCAAAAAAATCTATTACACTACTTTTAGATTACTTTTACTTTTAGGTTACTTTTGCTTCTAGATTACTTTTATTTCTGACCTAATTCATTCATCAGATTAATTTGAATAGGTTAATCTTGTTCTATTAAAGCAATAAGCCCCAAGAAGCCGTGGTTTACAGTGAATTTATAACAGCTAAGGGGCATTGTTAGGCACGACGTGAAGCCAGAAAGTTGAGAAAATTACAGCAGTTTTTGGCATTTTAACACATTAGTTTACCTCTAGGAAACCTGGCCAGTAGTTGTATTTTATGAAACGCGTTATAGTTAATGTTTAGTTTTAGATATAGGCAGTTTAGATATATGCACTATATTTGCAGTAAGATAACGTGAGAAACACCATAATAGCTATCATAACTAGATGCTAGTTGTCATATTTTTAAGTTTCTAGTCTTTCTGCAATCTTTCTCTCCCTGTAGGAAGTTGAATGAGTTTCAATGAAGACTGCCCATTAAAGGAATCTAAGAAAGAGTTTCCCTGAATGCAGTTGGTTGCAGTTTTACACGTATTTTATTAAATTTTTTATTGGGTTTAACATTCGCTTATATTGTCTTCTTACATAAATGTCATAAAATAATACTGGGATGTGAGTAATTAATCTTTTTAAATTCAACATTTAAAAAAAGCAAAACTTACAAACATTGAGTGTTTGATAATGTCTAAATATACAATGCAAAACATATAAAAAAAAATAAAAATAAAAATAAAAAAAAGCTATTATGACCTGTTAAACTCTTTACAGCAACTAGGGTAGAGCTAAATATATGTAGGCTATACTTATTAAACAGCCATACGGGCATCTAGTGGTTAAACCATGGCATTACATAGGAATATTATTTTTCTGGCCACCAAATTTAAAAACATTTTCTCTATTTTAACCCTAAATACTATGCTAATTGTAATATAAATAATAAGAATATTAGAAATAAAAAAATTATGCTGTCTCTTCATCACTCCCCAGAATAAAATGCGATTGTAAAACGTAGTCATTTAAAAATACCAAGAGAAAGAAAATATATTTGTCAACAACAAAGTATAATAATAATGTCAGTAGGTTTGTGAAGGAACTGCAGGGGGTTCGTAAATTGATTAAATTAATGATTAAATCGTAAAAATTTAAATATAATCTTACAAAATGAATAAAAGCAGCAGGCTTTTTTTTTTTAGAATGAACAATTTAAAAGATAAAAAAAATTTTTTAAGAAACATCAATTATGTACAATTTACTGCCATTGAGTGAGTGAAATATAATCAATAAAATAGTAACGCTGATCTGATTATGAGCATTTTAAAACATAGTACAATCTAATTACAAGTACTTAATATTTGGAATCTGAAGTGGAAACAGTGACCCATTGTTTTTCAGGATTCTTTGATGAACAGAACGTTCAAAAGAACAGCTTTTATTTGAAACAGAAATCTTTTGTAACATTAGAAATGTCTTTACTGTGACTTTTGATTAATTTAATGCATCCTTCATGAATAAAAGCATTAATTTCTTTCTGACTCCAAACTTTTGAACAGCTGTGTGTTTGATAAGCAACTTTGTCTATATATGAAAAAGGTTGACCTAAATCTTATTCAGATAGTTTCCAAAGGAAACATATCTCATTTTCATTTAGTTTCAGATAAAGTACTAAAATTACTACAACTAAAATTAAGAACTAAACATATTTAATATCCATTTAATCTAAAAAAATATATAATATTTTAAAAACACACAAAAATATTAAATTATAAATAAAAATATTATTTAAAATATACATTATTTAATGTATTTTTTACCAGGCTGAGAGGTCAAGGGTGCTTGAGTCTTCATGTCGGCATCTGCAGGCGTCAGCTGACCGACGGCGACCGTGGCTGCTGCTACCGCCACCGTCTGCTGCTGCTTCAGATTGTTCACAAACTCCTCGTGCTGGGTCTTCAGCACCTGGATCTGCTGCTGGAAGACCATCTGGACGGGCTGCACCACCGGCGCATACTCCGTGATGAGCGACGCCTGGACCAGACACAACAGAGACAGGATGAGAAACACATCCTCCAGATTTAACCAGAAAACAAACACTGACAGCACGAGCTGCACCTGATACTGTCCGAGGCCCAGAGCCGGACTCTGAAGCTGCTGAATGGTGACTTCGTCAAAGTAACCGTTCTTCTCCCAGAGCAGCAGCAGCTGAAAACATGAAGAGCAACGGCTCGTTTTTCCTGCTACAAGTCAAATTGACACCATAGTGAAGCTGCAAATAGGAAGAAATGGGGATGGATGATCTTACGCGGGTGATTTTCTGCTGCTTGTCTTCCTCTACAGCCAGGAAACTGGTACAGTAAATGGGAACCACGACCTTCTGTAGAGCCGCCAAAAGATCCCTCTGATTTTTCCTCTGACTGTGGAGAAAAACCAAGGTTTGCTCAATAAAATGCCATAAAATACACCTGGAGTTTACAAGTACATCTAAAATGGGACACTACTTTTTCATTCTTTCACAATGTGTAAAGTGAAAATGATAACTCTTTATTGTCAAATAACCTTTTTAGTTTGGAGCCTAAAATTCAACAGAAAAAAAATAATTAAATTTAAATGAAAATTAGGTACCAAATAGGGATGCACGATATATCGGCCACCATTATCGGTATCGGACGATAAATTTAAATTTTTCTGTTATCGTTATCGAACCGATAAGGGAATTTGGCCGATATCTTAGAGCCGATAAATAATACATTATTTCCTGCAGAGACACTTCAGATGCGCACTGTTCACCATGATGGTTTTTAATTGCTTGAAATATTATTGGAATCACTTCAAAAAGGAAAATACAGTGAACTGCAACATGTGCAGGGCAAGTCTGTCATATTATAATGAGATCATTAGCTACTGTAAAATAATGTTATGGAATCTTTGTTCGTCCGTGTTTTGGCGCGTTGTTAAGGAAAGTGCACATCCACAACGGATCCACACCTTCATGACTAGCACAGTTAAGTTCGCTTGTGCATTTACAGTTTTGTGCAATTGTATGTTGTAATATTGTGTTTATTTTATGCATATAAATCTGACTTATCTCATATAGAATGCATTTGGTTAAGCTAATAGAGGGTTAATAGAGCGCTTCAGTTTGCCAGTGATCATCTTTAGCTCAGCGCACGCAGCTCAAACAGCAGCGCACAACATTAATAGCTATGATTAAGATTGTCATATATATAACATTATAATGAGAACACTATTATAATAAAACGTTATGAATTCTTTCGGTTTGATTTCCGTGTTTCAGCGCGTTGTTGCGGGAACAGCCAAGAGCGCATCCACAACAGAAGTTACATTCTGATTAGCACGTTTAACTTAGTTCGAGTTCACTTGTGCATTAGCGTCTTTTTGTACATATAAGTAGTAATATTATATTTATGTTGTGTAAATATCTGATTATATCTGAATATGTGATGCGTTTCCTTGAGTTAAGCTGGCAGCACTTCAGTTTACCGGTGTTCATTCAGCTGTTCAGCTTCAGCACACGCAGCTTGAACAGCAATGCACAACATTAATAACTATGATTGGGAATGTCATTTACATAACATTATAAAGAGAATATTATCGTAATAAAAAAGTTGTGAATTATTTGGGTTTATTTGCCGTGTTTCAGCGTGTTATGGGAAGAGCCAAGAGCGCATCCACGAGTAACACATCTGACTAGCGCATAACTTAGTTCGAGTTCACTTGTGCATTTGCGTCTTTTTGTCAAATATAAGTTATAATATTATGTTTATGTTGTATAAACAACCCTCTACGGACACCTTGGAAATTGAATCGTCATTGGCTAGTAAATTTTTTAGTTTACTCGCCAGACTGATAGATATATATATACATACACAGTATCTCACAGAAGTGAGTACACCCCTCACATTTTTGTAAATATTTTATTATATCTTTTCATGTGACAACACTGAAGAAATGACACTTTGCTACAATGTAAAGTAGTGAGAGTACAGCTTGTATAACTAACTAAATTTGCTGTCCCCTCAAAATAACTCAACACACAGCCATTAATGTCTAAACCACTGGCCACAAAAGTGAGTACACCCCAAAGTGAAAATGTCCAAATT